GCCAGATAATAGGCTGAAAAGAGGTCAATTGAGTTATAACGTCAGTTTGATATGAAATGAGCGAGATATGTCTTTGATAGTATGAAACCCAATTCAAGGATCATGTTAGAAATTCACTGCGGTGGTCTCACGAATAATAATCACATGTGATTTTATAGAGACATAAATGATATTATCTGTGTTTACGGATAATTATCGTCTTAGTATGTATAAATCACTTATTATTATTATCATCCATAGTGACTAGTGAGTTCCTAGCATTTTTGTAATCTCAAACTCTATTTTTTGGCTAGACAATAGGTTGAAAAGAGATCAATTGATTTATAACGTCAATTTGATATGAAATGAGCAAGATTTGTCTTCGATATGCATGAAATTGAATTCTATGCGCAATACGGAATGTAATCATTTTTTATTGTTAATGTCAAAAATTGAATTCAAATTAATTTTTAGAGTAAATTCCTTAAAAGTTCTCTAGTTTTAGGTTGTTTTACATATTTAGTCTTTACATATCAAATATTACTAATTTAGTCGCCAATTATTCTATTTATTTTCATGAATGATCCTTTGTTAATAATCCCGTTAAGAACGTGGATAAAATTGTAAATTCACACTCCTTTCTCTCATCAATTAAGTTACTTACCTCCCCTCGTACTCCTCTTCCAAACCTGTCGCTGAGTTTGAAGATTTGAATCCAAAACCGAAATTATCACTCTTCTCTCAATTGTTTGTTGAATTGCTGGAACCCAAATTCGAAACCAGTAACCTTCATGGATGAGTTTTAATATTTATTTCCTTTGCAAGTTCTTGAGACTAACCGATAAAACTCATCCATAAAATTTATTGGTTTTGATTTTAGGTTCCACCAGAAAGACTTTTAGTTGAGAGAGGAGTGATCGTTTCATTTTTTAGTTTAGAGCTTCAAACTCGACGACGAGTTTGATAAAAAGTACGAGAGGGGGGAAGCTTAACTGAGGAGAGAGAAAAATATGAATACACAGTTTTATTCGTGTTATTAACAAAAACATTAACAAAGAACCATTCGTGAAAAATAATATAATAATTAAAGACTAAATTAGTAATATTTGATATGTAAAGACTAAATATATAAAACGATCTATAACTTAAAAGGTTGTATGGAAATTACTCTAATTTTTACGGAGTATAACACTTCTTTCTCGACCACTTGAAGTACGTTTTGGGGCGAGTTCTCACGTATCAAGTACTTTTGACTTGTGGAGGTATATGATCTTGTACAATATTTTTGATCATTGTTTGGCTGTAATCCATTGCCTACAGGTTGACAGTCTTTTTTACTCCATCCGTCCTAAAATATAAGCAACATTACGTTAAATGAAGTAATTTTTTAAATTTTTTCAATCCATTTTATTTAAAGAATGGTCTACAAATGAAAAATAAAACTTACATATTTAAAAACTACGTCAAAAGTTCTACAAAACAAGTGGTGACAAGAATATTTTATTTTATCAAATAATCAATGAAAATGCAAAAATAAATAAAAGTTCCCGAGATTTTTAAATAGTGGAGTGTTGCTTATATTTTGAGACGAAGGGAGTAGTTACTAACAAAACTCATGAAAATGACACCAAAATAAAGACTGGATTTTTTAGGCTAAATCTCCAAAGAGGTTTGATGTAAGACAAAGTCAAGTTTGGTTATTAAAGTGTTCTTTAAATCGGTTTTCAGTTAAGCTATGTGATTGTATATTTGTATTCTTAAAAAATAGTTTTATTGGTCGCACTGGCTTTAATATTTACTTTTCACACTTCGAAAATCTTATATAATAATGTTGTTTAATGTTAATATTTTCAAAATTAATTTATGCCATAAAAAATTACCTAAAACACAAACGTTGAGTGAAAATGTTCTTTCCAAAGAAGACGTTTTTTGTCATAAAACTCATAATCACCTTTTAAAAATGTATTTGTTTAAAAACATATATTTGAAATAAAAAATTGATTCAACAACTATTAGAAATCCGAAAAAATAAAAGGAAAATATAGCTCATATCCCAAAATAAAAGTATCATGTATTTATCACGAATTGTTTTTACACTGTGACAATGTAATACCGTATAATGGCATTTCACATTACTTATTTAGGAAAAAATACATGGCACTCTTGGTTTCTTTATATTTTACTTAGTTTATTATTTTTCCCGTGTTTAATAAACTGGGTTTAAGATAGTTTTTGGTCCAAAAAATTGGGTCACTTAAATTTTATATTCAAGCTCTGTTTAAAACGAATTTTTCAATCTATAATTTTCAGTATAAATATTCTACAGAATTGATAGAAATATGTAGGGTTTGTTTGGCTGGAGAAACCTATTTTCTCACAAATATACTATCTTCCTCCCACACTGAATCGTCTATTTTGATATTTCAATTTAAAAATAAAAATCATGAAGTACACATTTGAAATCTATTTTAAAAGTTCTATAAACATAATGTTACATAAGTATATTAGGTTATAAAATCAGTAACTAGTCCATTTTTAATTTTCAATTAAGTACTCCGTAATAAATAATTAGTCACAAGATTACTCCAAGGTGACGCAAGTTTTCTTGAAAGAATTCGCACGTCTCTTTATTAGCACAAGGACATCAAGGGCATTTACATTTAAGGCAAATTTTATGGTAGACCTATGGTCTACTATGGACATACATATGAGCAACATAAGCATTACTTTATTACTTAAATAAGTATATGTTTTTTTAAATAAAAAATTAACGAACTAAGAAAGTTCACAAGATTGATATGCACCCAAGATATACCAAAGAAGTACTCTACACTTAATTGGAGAGAGATCATTTTTTTTATTATTCCGTTATTGATTGTTAAAAAAATGTGTTTTTTTTTCATTTTACGTTAATAAAGTAAGTTAGAGCTTTCACTTCTTTATTTTTCTCTTTTCCCATTCACTTTGCTTTCTTTTTCATATATTTTTTTTCAATTCCTTATGTGCTTATTTTTCAAAAACATCAAATTAAAAAATAGCTTCAATGAAAAAAATTGTACTCCCTCCGTCCATAAATAAATTTTACGTTCACTATTAATAGGGTCAAACTTTATTCACTTTGTTGGCCTATTTTCGTCACTCATTTGATAGAATAATATAGTAATGTCACCTCTACTTTTGTAGATCTTTTGATATAGTTTTTTAATATGTACTGTAATTTTTATTTTTCAATTCTACACAATTTTTCATATAAAATGATTTGAAAATAACTTCAGTCAAACATCATAACGCGCAATGTAAAGTTTATTTGTGAACGGAGGGAGTAGTAAAGACAAAACAGAAAAAATATACTCATATATTTTAACTCTCATTAACAGAGTAATGAACAAGATGTCCTCTTCCAATCTTTACCATTAAATTTAAAGATTCATATTGTCTTTTTTGAAAATAAAAAAAATCCTGTAATATTTTAACAAATCTTGCATCACCCAAAATAATTTTCTCATAAACTAATATATAGTAGGAGGAAAAATAGTTTTTTCAAAAAAAAAATTCGTTTTAATTTCCTATGTTAAATATATATAATAAATACTTTGTAATCCTCCAAGAAAATGTTTTATTTGAAAAAAATATCTCTCGTTCAAAAAAAAGATATTTGTCGCTTTCGAAAGAAAATTCATATCCACGCTCTCGACCCAACCACATCTACCCTCATGCCCCACCCCCACTCCCTTGCCCATCCACCCTCACTCCGCTATGTCTGCCCCCAACCCATCCACCTCACCAATGCCCAACCCCCTGGCCACTAGGGCTATTCATCGGTCTAAGACCGGACCGAACTAGATCGATCCGGACTGGACTGAGGACCGAAATGAGTAATTTCAAGGACCGAAGACCAGACCTAAATCTACTCGGGTTTGGACCGGACCGAACCGAAATATTTAGGACGGAACCGGTCCAGACCGATTGGACTGAAAAAATACATATTTTTTTAATTATTTTGATCAATTAAATATATTTTAGACTTTTTACTTTATACAATTCAAATAGAAAATGAATAAAAAAATATGCAACCTTAAAATGGATACACAATATGAACTACTTCAATGTAGAACCACAAAAACAAATATGAAAATTTTTTTTTAGATTTTTTTAAAATTACTTAATAAAAAACCTTTTTAATTAAATAAATTAAAATATTTATTCAAATAGAGCATCAAAGTGTAATACGTAACTTAAAAAGTAGAGTTTTAGTATTTAAGTCTTTTAGGTCTAGTAGGGTCATTCGGTCAAATCGGTCCGGACCTAAATCATTTCGGGTTTGGACCGGGCCGGACCGAAACCCGAATGCCTAAATTTTCTGGACCGAAACCCGAATGCCTAAATTTTCTGGACCGAAGACCGACCCGAAATCCATTCAATCCGGGTTTGGTCTGGACCTAACGGTCCAATTCGGTCGGTTTTTTCGGCCCGGACCTAAATGTGAACAGCCCTATTGGCCACCCTCACACCTTCCC